TAGTTGAAAAATTAAATTTTTTTTATAAAAAACGACGTCTGCCACAATGTTAGCAACAACGGACAATAATAAACCTAAAAGCTAGTTAAAGCCAATGAAAAGAAAATTAGCCTTTATAAAATTATTTAAAAAATTAGCATTTTTAACTGTAAAGATACGATCGCACTAGTCAACGCAACCATTACCGCTTGCCAGATGGCCCCCACGCTAACTAAGAGAGTGAAAGAGATGTCATATCAAAAAAACCAGCTGTCCTGAAATGCTCTCCCGAAAATGTTGCTAGCTCTTAGACTATAAATGGAGCTACTCAATCAAGAAAAATTAAAAGGTGTTAGAGAGTTTAAAAATTCTGTGTCGAAGCTTACTTGCTCCTGTAGATATTCAGAAATGACAGTACCGATGCCATAGTAAACATTTTCTTATCCGGGCAACATATTAACCATTTCCTCATTAGCTATGGTACAGTGCATATTTTTCGGACACGAAATTGGTCAGTCCTTCCAGCGGTTTTGGTTACTTACACGAGGCTGAGGTTGAACGACACAGTCGACTAAATTTATATCTCGCAAAATAGATTCTTGTGTACTTATCTTAATTTTTGAGCCTGGGGAAAGTTCTCGACTTTCTCTAACTCGCAAAAGAAATTTGAAATAATCTCACATTTATTTAAAACAATTCGTCGGCAATCTTTTTTTATTTGTTCTAGGATTTTAAAGCCATATATGTAAAAATGAAAATAAAAAAAGGAAGTTCTTCAAAATATTTTGTTCCCAGCATACCGCGGAGTCCGATAATAGACCGAAAAGGTGGTTTTATGGTTTTTCAAAACGTTCTTTTTTTATAATAAATAAGTATTAAAGTGTTTTCATCATTTCTTTTTATTGAAAAAATGCAAAGTTACAGATTTGCATATTATTCAGTAAAAACTAGATAGAAACGGAAAAATCCTGAAGTAAATCTAAAAATATTTTTTATATTGTTTAAAATACGTTCCTTTTAGGTTTGCAACCACTTTGCGCCCGCTCTATGGAATTTCTTTGCCAGATCCGGCATATTTTCTATTAAATACATCTGAAAAGTTCTAAAGTTAGACAAAAGTAATTTTTTATGCATTATTGTTTGCCTCAATGCATTTGAAAGTGCCATAACGTCAATAGCTTTTTTTGTGGTGTTCCTTTTCAGGAATATTCGGAAAAAACGATCAGTTTCTTCTGGATTTAAAATTTCTTTTTCAATTCCCAGACTAGATAAAAAAAAAACAAGATAACAAAGAACACTTTGATCCCCTTCTCATTCCATATTAGGAGCGCTCCGAAAACCCTCATTCGTGGTGTTAACGTGGGAGTTCCTTTTCACTCCGTAATCGGAGTGCTATGAAAACACTCTTTCAAGGTGTTGCTGTGGGCGTCCTTTTTTACTCCATACTCAGAGCGCTCCGCAGTTGCTGCCTATTGAAATGGACGCAGCAATGCTTTGTTCAATGAAAAACTTTAAAAATTTCATGCAAATATTTCAAAAGTGGTCTAATGATTTTTAAATCTGAAATGTTCTTGCAAAGTTTCAAATCGAGCACTTTAATTTGATACATGACTTGTCTCTGTACGATTAGTAGAACGCTGGGTATAAGCGCCTTGTCTTAGAATAATAAATAGTGTAGACTCTTAATTAACAAAATTTATATGTTGAATTGGTATACTGTTACCGTTTTGGTATATTCTGCTTTTGCCATTTTCTCATTACGCTCATATTATTTTTGGTTTTAAGTTTCTGTACTTTTTTGAGCTATGAAATAGTTGGTCACATTACGTATGAGTAACATTATTTTCTGCTTATAAGTATGTATTTCATTAAAAAAAATCATTGAATTTACCAATCGATTATGTGAAAGTGATAAGCCGCGGCGCAATACTTTCCAATCCAATTATGTAGAGAATTAATTCATCTACACTGTGGTATATTTACCTTTTGGATTAATGTATTTGGTTTGAAGCAGGCAAAGTTAAAAATTAAAAAAATAACAATAATAAAAAGGTGGAAGGTAATAAGGTCAATGGAAATAAGGTCAATTGACTTTATTTCCCACCCTGGTGCGAAGTAAAGTCAATTGACATTATTACCTTTTCAAAAGCGAAATAAAGTCAACAAAAATTTTAAATAAAGTCATTGATGCTATTTCCTCATTCAAATGGAAATAGCGTTAAATGCTTTGCCCCGTAAGTGTTGTTTTTTAATAGATGAAAAAGGTTATTGCCAAATCCTCAGTGTTGTGATATTAATCCACACACAATCATGAACTACCACCAATTGATTTTATTAAAAAAATCTAAATTACGGATATGTAAAAACACGATGCGAAAAACTAAACACCTGCGCACAGCTGGAATACGAGAAATATTTGAAGAAAGAGTGTAGAAATGATCCATAACTTGCAAAACATGTTTCGTTTCCACAAAAATAAAGCGAACACTATTAAATTGATGAAACAGTCCATGTCCAAAAACCCCGGAGGAACACTGAAAGAATTCTGTAATTTAAATTAGCATATTTTGAACGAATTCGGAATGTCTAAGGTGGAACAGAAACCAACCTTTCTATAAAGTAACAATTATAGAAAAAGAATTTTCTTACACTGTATTCATGTCTCCGCCAGCAATTTGTGACGACATCATTTAAAAGCAGCTAAGGAGAATGACGACACTATTTATTAGATGGCACATTCAACGAGCCAATGTGCCAAAATGCGGGTATAAACAATTATTGATTATTTAATAACGGAACCGAGATCATATAAGTTAATTGATTGGTTTTCACACACTTTTGAAACAGAAATTATATGCTTCTTTACTGCAGACAAGTTGTTGCCCCAAAACACAGCAGAAATCTTCCAATCAGGGCTGCCAACTATCCTTAGTTATGAGGTGCCATATTGAGGATAAAAAAGTGCCAAAATGTGCCAATTAGAAAAATAAAAGTGCCAAAAAAGTTGTCGTTCCTTTTAATCATTCACATTTAGCAATAAAATAAAGCTACATTTTCCAAACAAAAGTTCAATGATAAAATAAGATAAACCAGTTGAACAACCTTTATAAATTAGAAGAGTTTAGTTGAAAAAAAGAAGTGCACGCAAAGGATTTCACAAAAATGTATTGAAATGTATTTTTTTTTACAAAAAGGCCATTTTGGCACGTTGTGCCAAATTGCAAAATTAAGTGCCATTTGAAGTAAAATAGGGACAAATAGCGTAGCGTGACGAGAGTGCGCGCCGGTACGCGCGGGGTACTCGTGGCGCGCTAACGCGGGCCGGCGCGAAGCTAAGCAAATTTAATCTTTGAAAGAGAAATAATGTCAATGGATTTTACTTCGTTTTTAAAAAGGTAATAATGTCAATTGACTTTATTTCGCACCAGGGTGGGAAATAAAGTCAATTGACCTTATTTCCGTTGATCTTATTACCTGTCACCATTAAAAAATTTTATAATATTTTGACTCTTCGAATGTCAATTCCTCTCTTCGAAAAAACTATTGGAATAAATATTTGTTCCTCTGCCGAAAAGTTTATCGTCGCTATTCCATAGTGAACAATTGACAAAAAAGTTATTCCACCGTCGTTCAGAATTGCTCAGAATAACGAAACCGTTGAATAAGAAGCAATCACGACAAGTAAATAATATGGCCGTTAATGATTTAAAAAAAAGTAGTCAAAACTCCCCGCAATATGCAGCGATTCCCCGCAACGAGACAAATTCCCCGTAAATCGACGAATTCTGCACAAGTTTGGCATCGGTGCCGAAGAGAGCATCTGAAGCAGAGCCCACACACGTCAGAAACCATCTATTCGATCTTTCATATGCTCGCCCCGTGGATGGCGCAATTGGTGTTCTATCCTCGACATACACCAAGTACCTCTTCCTTTGCCCCTTAAACCCGCTCAGTTAATACCCTATCGCTGTGGTCCAACCCCGTCAAAACAGCAACTTCCCTGGGCCTACTGTTAGTTGAGCTTGACTATAACGATCGATAAACTAGCGGATTTAGGCGGAGCTAAGTAGATCTGCATAGGTCGGCTGTGGCGTCGGGGGAATAGACCATTTCTGGTTGTGAGACTTACGCTTTAAATCCGCTTGGCCATGATGTGGATTTTTTTAATTGAATAAATCTAAGTAAAATTACAATAAGCAAAATTAAAATAAAGTTAAAGAAAAATATAGATTTTTCCCTATGCCGAAGCTTTTAAACAAGTTAACCTCAATGTTATGTCAAAGCTCTCGCTATCGGCAGAAGTAGCAACGCACAGTGGTAGAAATCCAGGAATTTAGTTTCAATAGGGCCTACAGCTACAAATATATACCGATCTGATTAATTTTCTATTTTTAAATGACAGCCGATAAGATTTAGATTTGGTAGAGCCCGATTTTTGAGTTTTTATTTGTTTATATAAATTTTTTGGTGTAAAATGCAGAGGATGTAGCAGTTTTGAAAATCGATTATCCTGTTCCTTTAAATGAATGTCACACAAAACAACTAGTTGAAGACAATTATGAGGTTATGGATTCGCTTGAAATTTGTTACTTGGGAGTTTTTGTGGTCGCTGACTATGAATATGATTTTGATTTTTTTTTAATTATTGGATTCGTTTGAAATTTCTTACGCGGGAGTTTTTGGGGTCGGTCATTACACTCAGAAAAAAACTCTTTTCTCAGTGTACGAATATGAGCAGTACATCAAAAGAAAAATTTTCTACAGAATCCAATAATTTCTTTTAACTTTGTCCGCCATATTGGATTTCAAAAAAACCACTCGTCATTTAAAAGGAACAATTTTTTTACCGAATTTTCAAGAATATGACCTTTCTTCTTTTACCTGAACCAATTTTGATTCTAAATAAGTACGCTTTTAAATTTTTTCGGTGTACATAAATCATTTTTCAAAAATTTACCATTTCCATATTTCGAGTAGAAAAGTCCTTACACAAATATATGAATTCCATCTTGTTCAATTAGAGTTGCCGTCGGTTTTCCTGAGACCCGTACTTGTTTGCTAAATCAAAAGTTGCAAATGCTGAGCTACTGTATTGAGCGTTCAAAGTTTCGAAAATATGGCAACATGGAGGAATCTAAAAGTGAACCTGATTCCAACATGAACTTCAACGAGCATAAAAGAGATGACAGCAGTTTTGAGGAAGCTTCTAGTGAAACTGGGGATGAAGGTGAAGATGAGTTTTATGACTGCACGGAATATCCTCCAGAAGGTCGTGACAAATGTCTTGGTGACATAAGGCTATTAGATTGTGATGAGCCGCTGTATATCCCTATAACACAAGATCCAGTGCCAAAAACAGAAGACGAATCGGAAGCAGATGCAGAATCAATGCTGAAGCTTGGAGCTAATTCAGGTCATATTAAAAAATATGTACATATATGGGTCATTCCATACAGTATTTACACCTCAATATTTTTTTGGGGTGAAATATATTTTTTTACATTCTTTGTCGAAATAAGGAAGACACCTATTTTTTTATTTCGTCATGATTATCGAAAATCTCGAACAAAATCCCGAAGTTTTGAACTCACGGAGAAATATCTTTTTTTAATTGTTTGCAGTTAATAAACTATTTGTCGGAGAAAATCATTAAAAATCATTAAAACGTCGCATTTTTTAAATTTTTTATTAACTTCATGTTTGACTTTTATTTTTTTCAACCTGAATAGTTGTCAAACTTTATGGAGTAAGCTGTAAAAATTTGAGAATGGAAACACAAAACTGTAGAAGTAACGATTTTTTTCATACCTGCGTACATAAAGTTTATACCATGATAAAAATATTTATAAGGTACAATCGCTGAGAGCCAGCTTTGAGAATTTTGACGTTTACTAGCATTTTTGAAAATTTCTCTCGACGTCATTTCATCTGTTTGTTTTTATTTTCACTCAAACCAAAGAAATATATTTCTGAAGAATCATTAATATTTGAATGTACATTCATAGATATGTACACATGTATGTATGTATGTACATATGTAAATAAATAAATGTTAGCAATTGTGTAATGAATTTCTGCCCACATGCTAAGGCGAAGATTTTGGGCTTAGATTTAAACAAATTTAACCTGCACTTTTGCTAAGAACTATCTTGGGTCAAGTGGTGTGGCAAAAAATGATCCTAGAGCACATAGGCACTTGGGAAAATCCGCTACCTTAACACCACCAACCTCGATCATGTTTTGCGTACACACGGTAATTGCGGGAACTTGAAAGAACTTTATACTGCTTTGATTGCAGGTAAAAACGGTATTAGCGCAGCCGCTAAAGCAGCATCTCATTTTCCTTCTATAAAACTTTAAGTTCTTCCCACATTTGAATAAATAAATTTTCAAATTATAAATTTTCACTTGTTTATTTTGAATTTATTTGACATTTGAATTATTTCGAAAGAGTAAACTCAAAATGCTAGCAAACGTCAAAAAAAAACACCAATTACGGACGAATTGAGCGAGCGGTTTTACCTTTAAATATTTGTATCATAGTTTATACTAATGTTTATGTACGCAGGTATGAAAAAACTCGTAACTTCTACAGTTTTCGTGTTTCCATTCTCAAATTTTTACAGCGTACTCCATAAAGTTTGACAACTATTCAGGCTGAAAAAAATAAAAATCAAACATGATCAAGTTAATAAAAGAAATAAAAAATAAAAAATGCGATTTTTTAATGCAATTTTTTTTTTTTTTTTTAATTTATCTCACATTCTCTTGGAAAGCCAAGGTAATTACGTATATTTTGATAACTTAACTGATTTTCTTCGACAAATAGTTTATTAACTGCAAACAATTGAAAAAAGATACTTCCCCGTGAGTTCAAAATTTCGGGAATTTTTTTCGAGATTTTCGAATATCATGACCAAATAAAAGAATAGGTGTCTTCTTTTTTTCGGTAAAGAATGTAAAAAAATATATTTCACCCCAAAAAAAAATATTGAGATGTAAATATTGTATGGAATGACCCATAAGTTTCTCATTATAAACATAAATTCGTCCGAACATCTTTATTTTATTTATTTTAATCAATCAGGTTTCAGTATGCAAATGTGCTCTTCCCTGCTTTCCGATATGGAAGCCTTTAAAGCAGCAAATCCAAAAGGAAAGATGGGGGACTTTATACGTTGGTACAGTCCCAAGGATTGGGAGGAAGGTAAAAATGCGCGTAAAAAGTAAATTTTATTATAACAAAATATACCCCATGATTTGCTCATTAAAAAATATGTTTCTTAAGATGATCAACTTGGAGTGGGAAGGCTGAGCGCTCGCATGCAGGCTCCTGGTAATATCTGGCAAACAGTCTGGCAACAGGCGCAACCAGTACCGGCTAGCAAGCAGGTATATTTAACTGAAAATATATGAGTTAATTATATTTAAAACTAATATGTTAACACGATTTCCGAACAGAAACGTCTATTTGATGAAACGACTGAGGCAATCAAAGTTTTAACATTTTTCAAAACTCGCAATATCAGTGAAATCTACGAGATAACAATAATATCACTTTTGCATGCAGCGATCATAAAGTTCAAGGTGTGTAGATCCTTCTTTAGAAATAATTAATTAATAGTTAAATAAATATACATATATTTATTCATACGTTTACTTAGTAAGGGAATAGAATAAGGGGAATAAAAAGTATTTAATTATTCTGTAATAGTGATATTTTGTTGTCTTAGTACCAGGGTTCGGATTTGCCTCATTTTAGCCCCTCGCTCGCTCGATAGTTTGCTCTGAGCTTGCGCAACTCACCGAGCAACAGGCGAGGCTGTTTGCAAACGAGTACTCGTTAAAGCTTGCTATACAGTTCAATGAGAGCATGAGCGTGAACGTTCTCAAAGGCAAAGAATTCCATTTGTATACTTATGGACGCTCACACACATCTGTCAAAACTTTTCGTTCACATGCGAATGCTTTGCGTACGCACACAGTTGAGTGTGATCTTAAAACAAAAGCATTATATGCATTGTCGGCCCCTGTGGTGTAGTGGTAAGCAGTGCGCGCTTCCACTCCACAATGCCTGGGTTCAAACCCTGGTCAAAGCAACATCGCAAAAATATAGAAAAAAAAAGGTTTTTTCTTAACAGCGGTCGTCCCTCGGCAGGCAATGGCAAACCTCCGAGTGTATTTCTGCCATGAAAAACAGCTTCTCATAAAAATACAATCGCCGTTCGGAGTCTGCGTAAAACTGTAGGACCCCCGCTTTGTGTGACAACATCAAGGCGCACGCCATAAATCGGAGGAGAAGCTCGGCCAAACACTAACATATGTGTAAGCGCCAATCTATTATTATTATATATGCATTTTAAATTATAATTCTGAAAGATATTTTAATTATCTATCTTTTGATATACAGTATATTTTGCTTAGCTGCACATCCTTCTTTGCAAGAAAAACTTGTGCACGTAACCGAAAAAGGCACTTAAGCGAATTTTCTTTACTACTTCAATGAGGAAGGTATCCGAATCCCTATGAAACCAAATATTGGCGGAGCACTTACCATGTAGAATAAAGAATGTTATCAAATTATCTATACAACTACATAAATTGATAGCCATTTTCGTTGTTCTGCGAGATGAGCAAAATAAATAAAAGGTTGTAAAATTAGGTAATTTTAGGGCCAGTGCAGCTAAACGTAATACTTTCATTGATAATTGATACTAGTCGCACAATTTTTAAGGCAGGTATCGCCAATGTGCAGGTATGTTGAATGCATCTATCGGAGCAGTTTCCTTATAAATGTTAAAAATAATGCTTTTGATGCGCATTTTGGGGTAGGTATCTTAAATGTGCACTTAAGCATAGAGGCAGCAAAGCAAAATATACTGTACCAATTATAGCAAAAAGTTAAGTAATAACGAAGATATTGGTCAGGCTATTTTTGAAATCGGACAAAACCTACTCGCCTTAAAATATAGCTAGCTTTGAGTTTTTTTTAATTATTGTTACCTAGCTGGCTTTTTGTCCGATTTCATAATATTCAAGACGGTGTTAAAGGAGGCTAAGCGCAATATGTATACCAAATTTGGTCGAGATCGGTCAAGTAGTTTTTGAGATATGCATATATCATACAAGTGGGTGGTGCCACCCCCATTTTCCAAAAATTTCTGTAAAACCCACGTTTTTGCTAAAGAGCGATTGTATATATCAATTTTAAATAAATATTGATCAATTTCTTAGCCACACTGCTCAAAAACTCTGAAAGTCCGGTACATAAGCAATATAAATTTTAGGCCGTATTTAAGAAAAGTTGCCTAACTTCGACAATTTTTATGCTATTTCAATAAATGAGCTATTAGTTTATTTGAAAATTGATTTAATTTTAGATAGTACTACATATCATGATACAAAAAAGAAGGTAGTTTCATTGTCACATTTCGGGAGCCATATTAATTACTTGACGGTTAAGCAGATTGTGACATTTCCTGCTACCATACCTAGTCCTCAGAAATAATTATTTTGTAAAAAAAAAAAATACATTACAAAATTGAAAGAAAATTTTTCTTCGATTTGAGCAACAAAGAAAATTGAATTTCATAAATCTTAATATTTGCAAACCAAGCTACCAATGTCTTCTGTGAAATTAAAGACCGCTAAATATGTTGCTCATCCAAAAAAATTATTTATTATTAAATTTGTTTATTACACAGGCAATCATCCAAAATAATTTTGATGTGCTTTGCAAATGGAAGCCCAAGTAAGTCTTTATTTTCGGAGCTTCGTGATATCATAGAATTGTCTCTATTATAGTTAAGGACGATGATATTATTAGACGTTCTCGCAATAATTTTTATTAAGATATACGCAAATGCATTCTGATCCAGCTGAAGATTATGACAAAATGAAAGATTACTTACAACAGATAAGAGTTAAACGTCATATGCGAAAAGAAAGAAAGAGTTAGCGAATTTAAAACAATTTGGCAAATCATTTATGCATAACATTCTGTAACCTATTAGCAACAATTTTCATCATTGCAACGTGTCGACATTCATAACACACGTCGGCAAGTTGCGATGGCGATCCGTAAATTGTTGCTAAAAGTTTCGCGAAGCAACTTATTTTGTATATAAAACTTACTGTAAAATATGACGAAAAAATATTTAAAAATATTATAAAGAAATGTACATTAGGGTGGTACCACCAGACCCATTCGCTTTGTCGGAATTTTAATACTCTCACCCCCTAGGCTATGCTTAATATTAACATTTGTAGAAATGTCAAAATGTCATGTCGGCCGCTTAAAAAGTTAGCTTAAAAATAAAGAATAAAAAAATACATATAATACTTACATACATACAGTGGTCGAAAAAATTTAGTCGACCCAAATTTTGACCAGTTTTCACAACTATTAATTTTGTTTGTTATTTAATTTGAGCTTTATTTTTAATATAGTTCATTCTTTCACAAAACCCATATAAATCCAAGTTTCAACCTTTACGCAATATTTAAAAAATAATTCAACAAACTTTCGTAAAAAGTTCGAGCTTCTCAATTAGATTTTCTAGAAAGATTTTTGAAAGTTTTTTACCGCATTCAAATCTAGTATAATAAAAAGAAAGTTTCAAGTGGCTGAAAATTAGTTAACACCTTCCTCACAAAAAACAGTTCAAACCCCCATTTCCCACGTAAACTAAAATTCCGCACAAAAAACGATCCTTTCCCCAATTCCCCACGCAAATCGGGGATATTCCCACGAGTTGGCTTCCCTGTTTCCAATCAAACTTGGTAGTTTTTCTCGCTGATTTGTTTTTTAATTAGAAATAAGCGCATTTTTTCTTTACAAAGGTATTGTGGAATACCGAATGCCAAAAATTAATAAATGATTTTTTCAAATTCCTATTTTTATTGCAACATGTGCGTATAAAATACATATAAAAAGTTAATATCCCAACAAGCATTTCAGTAAATGCTTTAAAAAATTACCTAAAGCAAGTTTGCTATAATAAGCGCTTTAATTATTAGGTCTATTTAAAGTTTTTTTCAAATAAACCTTTAATAAGTGTTGAAGGCAAATGTTTGTAAATCACTCAAACTTAAAAATGAAATGCAAATACCAACGACATGTAGCTGTAAATAAAACATTTTTTCAATTGTAAGTGACGTGTTTACGTTTTTTGAAATATATTTCAATCATTATTAATTAAAGAAAAAATAAAATCAATGCGGTAAAAATGGGCAGAAAAGCCGTGTTTAAAAAGTAAAAAAAGGTATAAGGAAATTATACGTACATACATTTTTAAACAAATTGCCAATCAAGGAACTGCTGCGCTAATCGGTTGATCATTCGGGCCTTCAAATGATGAGTTCTCCTTATCCTTGCTTACTATTACATTATATTAAAAATGTATTAAATTTTCGGAAACCTTCATAAGTGAGAATGCGGCGATGAAGCGGAATATATAGCTGCATCGAAGTCGTTTTTCCAATTTGCCAATAACCATAAGTAATTGAAAGCTGCAGAAAACCTTAATCAATATCGTTAGCGGATGAAATTCATTCATTTTAATCGCTTATTATTTTTTCATTTATTTTCATTATTTGATCAAATTTACGAGGTCATTTTCGCATAAAATTTGCTTCGTAGTTTTACAAAGGGCTCGTAAATAGAGCACCATTTCGTAAATTCACGAGCTTTACGAGGTTCGCGATGCATTTACGTGTTTAAGGGATAACCCCTTATAATTAATTTCTTTATGCTTAATGTTTGTGTGTTATCATGAATTTATCAGCTATGTCGCAGAATCCGACTCGGAATTGATTTTTATCGGAAATGAAAACCGATACCTGTTTCATTTGATGTCGCGAAATTCTATCAGATTTAGATTTTTCTAACATCAGCAAAACCGATATTCGAATTAGGTCTGCTTCCTATCACGATAGATTGTACAAAAGAAAGAAAGTTTTTACCAATTATAGATCTCTAGGTGAAATTACACGTTTTTACTGGATAAAATATAAAATATTTAGAACTTTAAAGTTAAAACCGGCAAAACAGAAAACTTCAATATAACTTCAGTAAACTTAAATTTTGGGCGACGGTGAGACTTTGTATTTTTATATTCGTCGCATTATCTGCACATGCACAGACTTATTGTGAGTTTTTGTCTTTCTTCAAGCAAACAAACCTCAGGTCAAAGCATCAGTCTCGTTTATTGCTATACTATAACTGACGGAAATGCCTTATTTGGGCAACTAAGTCCGAATTTGGCATGTTCAGAGTAGTTTCTCTGTTCTACGTTCCATTAATTTAGTTTTTAATTTCGAAATAATCCCCTGTATTTTCAAATCGATCCAGCTCGCTTAAATCTTAATATTTTTCCGAAATATTTTGATGGACGTTTTAAAATATAATAAATTTTGTAATCCCGGCGGAAAAACCGCAACTTTTTTTGGTCTAATGTACATACATAAATACATACATACGTACATATATAAATATGCATGTAATGTATGTACATATCTATATATATAAAAATGAAATGTTTTCCGTATGACGGCGATGCCTGACCAAACGGCTTAACCGATTGCAATTCTGTAAAAAGGACTTTTTTGGACCTTATGTGTGGAAGGTTATTCGATTTAAAAAACATTTTAAACTTTTTGTTGTTGTTGCCGAAAAATGCAGAATGCTGAGACGTCACGATTTCGCAATTTCGTACAGTTTTCTGTATATTTTATGGCACTAAACTACTAAACGTCTGGACGGATTTGGTTCATATTTGGAACATATATCAATACCTTGAGAAGAAATATTTCAACCAAAGGTTGCTCGCTAGGTGGCGCTGGGGTCAGGATATTCCTAAAAATTGCATTTACTTGCCGATTTGGCTCATATTTTGAACATCTGTTAGCCAATTGAAAATAAATCTTCTTCTTCTTTTTTTTGGCGCTGTAACCGCCTAAGCGATTTTGGCCGAGTTTAGCAAAACACGCCAGTCGTTTCTCCTCTGTGCCAACTGACGCCAATTGGAAACGCCAAGTGAAGGCAAGTCCTTCTCCACCTGATCTTTCCATCGCAGTGGGGGCCTCCCTCTTCCTCTGCTACCACCAGCGGGTTCCGAGTTGAATACTTTCAGAGCTGGAGCGTCGGTGTCCATTCGAACGACATGACCAAGCCAGCGGAGCCGCTGTATTTTAATTCGATGCACTATGTCCATATCGTTGTAAAGCTCATACAGCTCATCGTTCCATCGTCTGCGGTACTCGCCGTCGCCAACGCGTAAAGGCCCGTAAATCTTCCGCAAAATCTTTCTCTCAAACACTCCAAGAGCCGCCTCATCGGATGTTGTCATTGTCCATGCTTCTGCGCCATATACCAGCACGAGCATGATGAGTGACTTATAGAACGTGGTTTTCGTACGTCGGGAGATGACTTTACTCCTGAATTGCCTACTCAGTCCAAAGTAGCATTTGTTGGCAATAGTGATTGATTCTACGTTGGATTTCAATGCTGACATTATTATCGGTGTTAATGCTGGTTCCCAAGTAAACGAAATTCTCTACTTTTTCGAAATTGTAACTGTCAACAGTGACGTGGGTGGCAAGGCGCGAATTGCTGACTGTTTGTTTGATGACAGGAGATACTTCGTCTTGTCCTCGTTTACCACCAGACCCATTCGCTTTGCTTCCCTATCCAACTTGGAAAAGGCAGAACAGACTTCGCGATTTTTGTTACCGATGATGTTGATGTCATCGGCATAAGCCAGCAATTGCACGCTCTTGTAGTAAATTGTTCCTGAGCGGTTCAGTTCTGCAGCTCTTATTATCTTCTCCAACTTTAGATTAAAGAAGTCACATGAAAGGGAGTCGCCCTGTCTGAAACCCCGTTTTGTGGCGAACGGCTCGGAGAGGTCTTTTCCAATTCTGACGGAGCTGGTGGTATTGCTCAACGTCATTTTACACAGTCGTATGAGTTTTGAGGGGATGCCAAATTCAGACATAGCGGTGCATAGGCAACTCCTTTTAGTGCTGTCAAAAGCGGCTTTAAAGTCGACAAATAGGTGGTGAGTATCGATCCTTTTCTCGCGGGTCTTTTCCAAGATTTGGCGTATTGTGAATACCTGGTCTATGGTGGATTTGCCAGGTCTAAAGCCACACTGGTAAGGCCCAATCAGTTCATTGACGGTGGGCTTCAGTCTTTCACACAATACGCTCGATAAAACCTTGTAATCTATGCTTAGAAGGCTGAACCCGCGGTAGTTGGCGCAAATGACGGGGTCACCTTTCTTGTGGATTGGGCAGAGCACACTTAAATTCCAGTCGTCGGGCATGCGTTCATCTGACCATATTCTTCACAAGAGTTGATGCATGCACCTTATCAACTCCTCGCCGCCGTACTTGAATAGCTTAGCTGGCAGGCTGTCAGCTCCAGCGGCTTTGTTGTTTTTCAGCCACGTTATTGCTATACGTACCTCGTCATAGTCAGACGGTGGAACGTCGACTCCGTCATCATCGACTGCGGGCTCGGGTTCTTCTTCTCCACAACTTTCCGTGCTGCTACCATTTAGTAGGGCGGAAAAGTGTTCCCTCCATAATTTAAGTACGCTCTGGACATCAGTTACTATGTTGCCATTATTGTTCTTACAAAAGTGCGCCCCGGTCTTTAAACCTTCCGCAATTCGCCTTACTCTCTGGTAAAATTTTCGGGCATTCCTCCTGTCGGCCAGCATTTCAAGCTCTTCGCACTCACGTATTTCGGCCTCTCTCTTCTTAT